CACCTTTTAAAGGACTAAGTCTCCATGTAAGAAGGAGTGAGGCTTCACCCTTGAGTTATAGTACTTAGTCATGCGACGCTTGTATTCCGCATTCTTGATCATTACCATATCTCTTTTCTCTGCTATCAAGTCGAGGTTGACAGGGAGGCCTACCTTAGTGAGAGTACCTTGATCTCAACAGGTATGATTGCTTCTATCCCAAAGGCAAGGGAGAAAGGAGGCTCGCCAATGGGGCTCCTTGGAGTTATCCGGTAGGCCCATAGAACTCCCGGGAGCTCCTTTACCCATAATTCCTTGGCACTTTCCAATCTAGTCTTCAAATTGCGTAGTATGGTCCTTATGGTGACTTCGGCCTATCCGTTTACCTAGGGGTGGGCTATCCTGGAGTGGGGTAGCCTGATTTGGAGGTTGGCACAAAAACCATTGAAGAGTTTATTGTTGAACTACTTGACATTTTCGTTTACTATGGCATGGGGTATTCCAAAGCGGCACACCATGTTTCTCCAGATAAAGTCCTTCACCTTCTTATTATTATTTTGGTTAAGGGCTCAGCTTTCGCCCACTTTGTGAAGTAGTCGATAGCTACCACCACAAACTTGCACTTGCCACGGCTTATAGCCAGGGGGCCTGATATTGACGCCTCACTTAAAGAATGGTCATGGACTCATGATGGCAGTCAAATCTTCTGGTGGTTGCCTTGGTATAGTAGAAAATTATTGACACTTGTCATAATTTTTCACAAACTCTCAAGCATCTCTAATCATATTAGGCCCGTAGTTACCTTGTTTGATTGCTTTATAAGCTAGAGAGTGCCCTTCCGAGTAATTTCTGCATACCCCCTCATGGATCTCTCTCATGGCAATCAGATTCCTCTGGAGAGAGACAACAGAGTAATGACAGTGAGTAGCTCCTCTTGTAGAGAATGTCCTACATGATGATATATCTTGACGCTCTTAGGTTTAGTTTCTTGGCTTCCATTGGGTTGTCTAGGATAGGCCATCTTCTAGATACTCCTGGATGGGTGTCATCCAGTCATCGTTAGTGGATGCACAATTGATGCTTCCTATATCCATTTTGAGCATGCTTGGCACAAATTGGTGATCTGTAGATGTGGGACCTGGTGGCATATTTGAGGATAATGCAAACTTGGCGAGTGCATCTGCTATAACATTATTCTTCCTTGGAACATGTTGAATTTGAAAATGGTGGAACTTTTTTAATAAAGTTTTCACCATTGTTAGGTACTCTTGCATCCTTTTTTTTCTTCCTTCAAAATCTCTTTTTACTTGGTTGACGACCAGTTGGGAGTCACTATAGGCGGTGAGGTGATCAGCCTTCATTTCAATTGCTAGCCTTAGGCTTGAGATGAGCACTTTATATTCTGCCTTGTTGTTGGAGGCTGCAAAATGGAGTGATACGACATACTTGAGGGGTGTAGCATTTGGTTGATGAGTTCTAGGCTTGTTCCACTACCTTTATTGGTTGAGGACCCATCTATATAAAGTCTCCAACAAGGCATAGATGCATGCGCGACGTCAAGGGGTATGGAGGCATCAATAGTTGGAGGAGCCAGCATGGCAGGTAGTAGGGCACCTTGCTGAGGCGTGAAGGAGGAGAGTGCAAAGGTGCCTAGGGAGCAAGGCACCAAGGTGGAGGTGCTTGGGGAGCAAGGGGCCAGGGCTAGGTCACCTCGAGAGTAGGGCGAGATGCCTAGCAAGCTAGCTCGGAGGTAGGCAAGTGCTGGGGCACTGGCCATAGATGCTGGTTCTTCTCTGTTGCCTCCCTTCTCAAATACTGTGAGCCCAACCACAAAGTCTGCTAACGTTTGTGCCTTGATGGCCGCTCTTGTTAGGTACTACATGTCAAACTCATCCATTTGAGGAGCCTTTCAGACACATCTAACTTTCCTAGTATTCTTTCATTGGTTGATCCGTGACGACCATGATGGTGTGACTCTAAAAGTAATGCTGAAAGGGTCTGGCTATTGTGACTAGAGCGAGAACTAGCTCTTCCAACCCTAAGTATCTTAGCTTTGCACCTTGATAAGCCCTACTCACATAGTAGATGAGTCTTTGCACTTCATTCTCCCTAACAAGGATGAAGCTTATGATAGATAGTGAGACAGTCAAGTACAGGTACAAGGTTGTTTCAAGTATGGAGTGGGAGAATAAGGGGAGTGTGGCAAGATAGGCTTTCAGTCTCCTACAAGTGGGTCACATGGTCTGCTGTGATAAGGCTCTTTTAACATGTCATCTACGTATACTTCCATAGTCATTCTGATTTGTGACTGGAACATCTTGTTTACTAGTCGCTAGTATGTTGCTCCTGTATTTTTTAGCCTAAAGAGCATGACCCTATAATAGTAGGTCCCTTTGGGAGTGATGAAAGATGCCTTCACCTGGTTTGGGAGATACATTCTAATCTAGTTATATCCCAAGTAGGCATCCAGGAGCTAAGCAGCTCATGACTAACTGTGGCATCAATGAGGATGTTCGATGCATGACAGGGGGTAGATGTCTTTGGGATAGGCTTTGTTGAGCTTAGTGAAGTCTATGCAAAGGCGACACTTTCCACCAATTTTGGTCATCATCACAACATTGGATGGCCAGTCTGGGTAAGCCACCTCTCTTATCAACCCATTTGCTAATAGTTTTTCCATTTTTTTTCTCCATGGCTTGTGCCCTTTTAGTAGCGTCACTTCTCAACTTTTGGCGAACGGGTTTGTGTTGGGGATCAATGTTGAGCCGGTGGGTGGCGACTTTAGGGTTAATGCCTTTAAGGTCTTCTTGAGACCAGACAAAGATGTCAATGTTCCGTCTGAGAAAATCAACCAATTTTTGGGCTCGATCTTCAGGAAGCGAGGAGATAATATAGATTCTCCTGTCCGAAAAACTTTCGTCCAAGACTACTGGTGTGAGCTCTACTACTGGCTCTCCTTTCTCTAATGTACCGTCATCCCTTGGGTAAAACATTTCCACTTGTAGGGCTTCTTGAGGCTTTGTGGCCCTCATTGAGGCAACATAGCACTCCTTGGCAACAATTTGATCTCCTTGAATTTTTCCAATTTCGCTTTGGGTTGGAAAACAGAGAATGAGGCGATAAGTTGCAGGGTATTTAGTGCGGGACGCCCTAAAATGTTTTTATAGGCAGACTAGAAATCCAACATTAACAAATTCACCATTATGGTGGAGCTTTTCAGTGTTGTACTCATAGTAACTAGTAGAGTGATAGAGCCCAAGGGATACGCCTTTTCTCTTAAAAAACTGATGAGAGGCGTTCTGATAGGTTTAAGTCTCTCCCTGCCAAGATGAAGGTTATCGTATGCCGCTACGAACAAGATATCAACGAAGCTGTCATTGTCCACAAGGATCCTCCTTATTTGGTAGTTGGGACCATCATGGTTAGAACAAGTAGGTCATCATGGGGTGCTAGATCCCCTCTAAGTCTTTGTCTGAGAAGGAGATGACCTCGTTGTCTCCTAGTCTGTGAGACTTCAACATTCGCAAGTCATTCATGTTCTTAGCCTTTCTAGTGTGTGTCTTATTGGCTGAGTTGGAGTCACCTCCTCTTTCTAGTCCTTCGGAGATCATCTGAATTTCTCCTAAGGGCAGTTGGTGCTCTATCTCATCCTAGTTGCGGCCTGGTGGTGGGGTCTGGCATCTGCCTGTCACCTATTATCGCAACTGGTCATGCTATATAAGGTCTTGAATCTGCTTCTTAAGTTTAAATTAGTCGTCAGTATCGTGGCCATGATCACCATGGAAATGACAGTATTTGTTCGAGTTCCTACGATTTGGGCCAGATTTCATTTTTCCCGGTCAGCGTACCGCAGGGTTGCCCTAAATTTAGAGCAAAATATGCTCAATTGAAGCATTGAGCGATGTGAAGGCCTACCACTCCTTCTGAGGTGTAGGGCTGAGACGGTCCTTAGTTGACACTCTCAGTCCTCCTCCTCTTATTCTTTGTCAAAAAAATTCCAGTTTGCCCCCTAAAAGATATAATTTTTTTCACTTTGCCCCCCAAATGATTAGTTTTCACATATTGCCCCTGAAAGACATTACAATGTTGCAATGTAGTTAATCATCATTTTTTCGTTTATTGTCCATTTGGTTTTGTTATCACGTGTGAAACATGTGATAACAGGAGAGGTTGTATTGTAAAATCCTTGTCTGTGCAAACCCTTGTCTTTGTCTACCAAGTGATTTGGGTCTTCTGCTAAGAGAGAGAGAGAATGGAAAAAATGAAAGAGAGAGAAATTTGCCCAAATTTGGGGAAGAATATTTAGGATTTTTTTGTTTGTCTGTCGCATTGACTAGGTTGAGGAATTTGAAGATTCAAAAGATGTCGTGGTTATTGAGGGAAGCGATCGACGATTCACGGCCTTGTTGCGATGCGCTATGCTATGGTATATTTAACATGCAATGGTTGACTGTGTTGACATCCATAGTTGTCTATTTTTGTCTGGGTTATGGGTGAATATACAATTTTTTTGTAGGTATGGTGTTTGTCTTTGTTCGTTGTGGAGTTCATTGTGGGTTTATAGTTACTCTATGTTGGGATCACTTGGGACAATTTTTTATGGGGTTTGTGGGTGTAAGTGTAACATGTGATAGTTTTGTTTATGCTTTTTTGTTTGTTTATTGTAAGTTGACTTATTACTTTATACTTGAGTAATGGTTGTTTTATTTTTTCACATTGTGGAGTAGATGGAATAATGTGTGCTTTGTCTGCCACTTGCTTGTGATTGTATGTGTAGATCATATTTGTGGATATTTTACTATCCGATTGCATCATGGTGGTAGATTGGGCAGTAAAGGAAAGAAACCTTATATTGGTGGCAAGATAAATCACATAGATATGTGTGATGATGGCCATCTTTCTTTGATTGAGTTGGAGAATCTGTTAAAGGCTATGGAAGTGGGATACTCTAAGCTGAGTAGATTCCACCATATAACCACTGATGGATGGAAAGTGTTAGAAATGACAGACAGACCTTGGAAATGATTAACTATATTGATAGCGACAGAGTCATTGATGTTTATATTGAGCACATCAATCCAAATGTGTTTATCCACAGTCAAGTTGATTCAAATGTAGGTGGTTTGGTGGATACAAATCAAGACTCTAAAAGTTCTAATGAGAGTGGCTCGTACTCAGACGGAGAGTCCTCAAAGTATGAATACTTTTATGATAGTGAGTATGACATGCATAATGATGAATTGTATGATACTTTTGTGGATCATGATGTTGGATTTGTTGGTGTTAACAAAGGGAAAAGAATGGAGGAAGACAAAGGAGTTGCCAAAGGGAAAAGAATGGAGAAAGGAAAAGGAGTTTCCAAAGGGGAAGGAGTTGGTTTTTATGGTGATAGTGGCACAATTTTGCATGACAATAATGATTTTTATGGTGAAGAATATGTCACAAATGAGTTGGTCAGTCTTAGTTAATCATCATCAGAGGGTGAGGATGGAAGAAATTCCAAGGTTTAAGTATCCACACTTCAATGCTAGGACTGCATGCTTGATCCACGATTTAAGCTATGTATGTTGTTCAAAAATGCAAATGAGTTTAGAGCTACAGTTAGGCAGCATGCAGTCAAATGGGGGTAAGGAGATAAGGTTCATTAAAAATGATAAATGTAGAATAAGGGCAGTTTGTAGGCCTGATTGTGAGTGGTTGATATTTGTTTCCAGCATGGCAGGTGAAAACAACATACAAGGTAAAACATATAATGCTTCCCATAGTTGC